TGCACTTTTAAACTTCTTAATCCATTTCAGAGTCTCCAATTGTTCACAGTTAATTCTTCTTACCAAGGGTGTATTACACTCGCTCAGCATTGAATGATATGGGAAGAATGGCCTTTCTTTACTGCATAACATAACTTTTTGTTCACAGGTTAAAATCAGCCCTTCCATTTCACTGCAGTATTATATTGGTGGCATTTTTATTTAAGAAGAAAAAAAGCTTTCTTCCATATGAACTTTTGTTACAAATCAGTTTATTGGGGCCAATCAATGGGCAGGACCTATGAAAGGGTGTAGATTATCTGGTTAGGCCTTTGTTTGGCAAAAGGCTTAGATACTGCTTAGTACTTGGCTCATTCTTCATCATGTAAAGAAGTGTTTTTTGAAGGATCAACACCTGACTGAGCCCTGCCTTTTTCATGGTAATGTTTTCACCTGAGTTGCTTCTTATGGCACTAAGAATTAGTTAACTAATACTTACTTAACCTTGGAACAATGTTTATCGTAATCCGATTGGCAGATAGTTATTTTATTTAGGCCTTTTCTTTATTGCAACAGGAACAACAAATCTCAGCAAAGAGTATGCTGGGAATAGTTGTGTTTTTTTTCTTTCCATCAAGAAGCTGTTTCGACGCTGTGGGCTTGAGTAGCCACATCTTAACAAGTTGGATTTACCCTCTTGGGTTGAGCTTTGCTTTTATTTTTAAAGCTGGTCTTCCTGTTTCATGCTGCTGTCAGCTTTTTCTCCAAAACGTTCTCCAATGTGATTTATTATATTAATACATTCAGAGCTGCTTTTTCGTGATAAAGCCTTCTCATGAGCATTACTCCACTAATTAATATACAAAATGACCCAGCACAATTTAATTATTTCGTAATGTGGTGTGTGTGTGTTTTTTGGTGTTTTTGTAAAGATGATGCTTTACAAGTCAAGGCCTGAACTTGCCTGGGTCGTGACCTCTGTTCAGTGTTTGCAGTCTTGTTAAACAAGAAGAAAAGCAAAACATAAATTAGCATCTCTATTATAAGTTGCTCTACATTTCCCAGTCTTTCAACACTGAGTTTCTGTGAGACTCAATAGTCACTGTGAGCCTAAGAGAAACATCCACTGGGAAAATGGCAGTCCCCACTTTCTGGAATGAGTAAGAAGCTTCTTCCTCAATGCCATCTTTTGGGGCCAGCATTGTTCTCTGTGAGAGAGGAACAAGGTGAGGGGGTTGAATTATGGGCTATGGAACATTAAAAAACTAAAGGGGAAAAAGAGAAGAACCACTTACTCTTTAAGTGTAGTAAGGATGTTCCAGCCTGTGTGGCCTTAGACATCGCTTAGCCTTCAGGAATATGTTCTAAGTTTACCACTAGAATTCAGTGTTGGGAAATACCTGCAACGTCATGTAAATGGCACCACTTTTCTGTTACAGTAGATGTTTATATGTCTTTATGTCATTACCCCAGCACCCCAGTGTTTGTTTTTGTTATTTTGCCTTTAGACTTGTATATTTCTGCTCCTTCCCCTTCATCGTCCTAACCAACCCACTCATTCTTTACGATTCAGCTCAGGAATTACCTCCTCGGAGAAAAGGAGATGTTTGTCTGATTCATGTTTCTTTCCTCCACCTGACAGACTGTGACAACATCTCTACCTTTCCATATTGTATTGTAATGATCCCTTGTATCTATCCATAGATACAAGGTCTGTTCCATATTCACCTAGGAGCTTGGTAAAGCTCTGTTGATAAATGTGTTTGATTTGTAGCTACTTGATTTCTTCACTAATAATGATTATCTTTCCATCTGTATACATCACAGTAATACATCTATCCCATAGTCTTTGCACAGTCATCTGTTGTGCTAATCACATAAGGGCTCTGTTTTGTTTCTTTGACATGCCTTTGTTTATGGTGATGCATTATCTATTTTTAGGACAATAGATGGATAAAAACAATGAATAAGACTCAGACAGGCTAGCATGGCTTATTGACAGTAGTATGCTTTATTGAAATTGTTTTTGCATCTGTTCTTCAACTTCTTAAAATCTTTTCCCATATTTATTTTAATTTTCACATAATTATTTGCATATTTATTTTAAAACTCTGGATTTCTAAGTTCTGTGAATAGGTTTAATAATTGTGTTAAAGAGCCGAAACCGGTTTGGTTCAGTGGATAGAGAGCATCGACCTGCGGACTGAAAGGTCCCAGGTTCGATTCCAGTCAAGGGCATGTACCTTGGTTGCGGGCACATCCCCAGTAGGGGGTGTACAAAAGGCAGCTGATTGATGATTCTCTCTCATCGATGTTTCTAACTCTCTATCCCTCTCTCTTCCTCTCTGTAAAAAATCAATAAAATATATTTTAAAAATAAAATAAAATAATTGTGTTAAAGGCTTGTGTGCAATGAGTGTATATAAATACAGTGGCATACGTTAAAAATGTATTCCTCTTCTATTTTCTAAGTTAAGTGTGTGTTTTTTTAAATGGGTGTTCTTCATGAAGAAAGGCAGCATACAATTTTGGATTCTGGAGCTGGCTTTCATTCCTGATTTTTTTTGTTTGTTTGTTTTTTGACCTTGAACAAATTATTTATTTCAAAATAGAGATAATGCTAATGCTTAGTTCTCAGGATTATATTGAACATTAAATGAGAGCTTGCTCTAAAGAGATGCCATACTGCAAACAGGAGTAAATGAAGGTCTCCGTATTGAACAGCAAGATACTCAGGCTCCTTTCCCCGTCTGCTTCCATAGGCTGGAAACTGGGTTTCAAAGCCCTCAGGAAGGAGATTAGAAGAGTCTTCTCTGGGAAAAAATTTATACATCCTGACCTTTGAGGGACTTCTAATCATCAGCCACGTCTTATCTGATCATCCTCACTGTGTAGTGAAGTGCCCCCAGATATTAATTTAACTCTTAATTGTGATTAGTCATCAAATAATGACCACACTATTGAGAAAAGCCATTGAGCAAATAGGAAAAAACAAATTCAGAGAAAACAGAGACAAAGAAGAAAACAGCCGAAACCGGTTTGGCTCAGTGGTAGAGCGTCGGTCTGCGAACTGAAAGGTCCCAGGTTCGATTCCGGTCAAGGACATGTACGTTGGTTGCGGGCACATCCCCGGTAGGGGGTGTGCAAGAGGCAGCTGGTCGATGTTTCTCTCTCATCAACGTTTCTAGCTCTCTATCTCTCTCCCTTCCTCTCTGTAAAAAATCAATAAAATATATTACAAAAAATAAAAAAATAAAAAAAGAAGAAAACATTTGTAAAAATCTGTAGAATTCACAGATATCTAAAATTAAGTATTGAATCCATGAAATATAACAGGATACAATAAAGAAAAGATTCAAGAAAGAGCTCTTAGAAATAAAAAAATAATATTATAGAAAAAGATTAATGTTAAGGTTGGGACATAAAGTTGATGCTAACCTAAAAAATATTAGAGAAAGAAATAAAAACCAAGAGCAAAAAATATAAAAGAAAAAGGTTAGTATTAGTAGACCAGTATTCAATTAATAGAAGTTTTGGGGCAGGGTTTGGGGGAGCACAAAGAAAACGAGCAGAAGGAAACCCTAAAGAAATTTCCTAGGACTGAATGATTATTTCCAGTTTAGAAAGGATCCATCTAATCCCAGTAAAATTAGTAAAAAAAAAAAAAAAACACAAAAAAACACCTTGATCTCAGGGTATATAATTTTGAAATTACATAGGGATAAAGAAAAGATTCCTTTAAAATTATATTTTTAAGATATAATTTTAAAATACAAGTTAGAAACAAAGAGTCAGAAAATCAGAATGACTACCAGCCAATAGAGCTGAAAATTAAAAGATAAGTGCCTTCAAAATTCTGAGGGGAAAATTATTTCCAACCTTGTTCTCTATACCTAGCCAAACTATCAATTATGAATAGTGTGCACAATATTAAGGGTAGACGAAAGGCATTTCCAGACATTCAAGGAAATGTTTAAATTTTTATCTCTCATATATTAAAGCTTCTTAGGAAGCTTTAAAGTACATGCACCACAGAGAAGAGAGAATAAACGAAGGAAAGGGAAGGCTAGGAAACGGGGGTTAGAACAGAGAGGAGGGGAGAGTTCTATTATAGAACTGCAGCTGCGGAGCAGGCCAAGAGAGCAGTCCGTTCAGACTGAGCTTTGAGAACAGGGAACTTTAGGAGGAAAATGTCTTTAAAAAACAACTTCAGAATTTCCTAACATGTTTGGATATAGTGAAAAGAATATTCATGGTTGTGTTTGGAGATGAACTTGTGATAAGTACCTGGTAAACTAAAGCAAAGCGGGAAAATGGCAATTATTAACTCCACTAAAAACAAAATGTTGATCAAGAAAGGAAATTAATATGGCTTAGCTGTAAGTCACATTTATATAATCATAATAAATATTGAATATAGATTTAACCAAAGATTGTGAAATAACTATATTAGAAGGATGAGAAAGGATATGGGGGGGAAATGCAAAATTAATATTAAATAACTATCTTCCATAATAGTAAGTCAGTAAAGAATGTTTAAAGCTAAAAACAAAATTCTTAAAATATAAGAATAAACTTATTATTTATACTAATCATAGAGAAATATGCAAATTATTCATTACAGTGTCACAAGTGGATGATATAGACTTTCCATTCATTCATTCATTTTTTTCCAGTTCCCACTATTCATATACCATATTGGCTATGAAAAATGAATTACAAACATGGACTGAAGTGTCTTGGCTTGTATGTCCCACTGATTTACTAAGCCACTATTTTATTGATGTGAATGAGAAGAAAGAGTTGTTGCCTTTCTGAATCCTGTCCTGAAGAAAGTGTTGCTCTTTCTGAATCATGTTGTTATTCTTTTTTAATTTCAAAAGGAAAATTCTGATTTTTTTTTTTTATTGCCTAATCATTTGCATTTCTGCAATTAAAGAATTGAGTACTGTTCAGGCTTACTCTAGTTTTCAAATCAGTTTTATCCTGTGCATTTTAACATGTTTTCTCTTTGTGGTCAGGGCCGCAAGCTTCTTATTATTGGGACCACTAGCCGCAAAGATGTCCTCCAGGAGATGGAAATGCTAACCGCTTTCAGCACCACCATCCACGTGCCCAACATTGCCACAGGAGAGCAGCTGTTGGAAGCTTTGGAGGTGAAAATGAGTCAATGGATTGCTCACTGTTTATAAGAAAGGAGTTGGGGCTGGAAATAATACTAAGGGGTGCCAGACTTTGCACCTGGAGTTTAGTTTCTATATTAGCCTAGAATATGGGACCTGGGCTATCCCTTAAGTTGTTTTCATGACTTAGGGGAATGAGAGATGAATATAAATTAGGGTGAATTTCCCTCTTCTCGGTGAGAGCAGCACACAAACTGCCAGGAAGGAGTGACTCTGTGGTCAGCATGAGTGATGCACATAGATTACAAGGACCAGAAACGTGGGTGAGGGCAGGGAAGGTAATAATAGAAAAAATTCAGTTAGTCATAGTAGCTTTCAGCCCATTTACTTGTATTTATTTAATAAATTAGAACAATTATTAAAATCTTAGGAACTTCATGAAAGTTACAGAAGCAAAAGGAACTGTTTTATGATCAAGCTCATAATGTAAAAATGTTTTCTTCAATCTTTTTGAGGATGACAAAGTTTTTAATTTAAAAAAGAAATCCTTTATTAAACTTTTTATTAATATCAATGTGTATAAGTAACTTGATGAGATCTGTTAGGAAATATGATCTATAACTTGTTCAAGTGTGAAGTCTCCTTAAAATCCTCAAGACCCATAAAATTGGGGCATACTCCCAACAAAATAGAAATTATTTATATGATAAATGTCTCCAGGTTATCGGCTTGAGCAGCTTTTGTGCCAAAGTTGGATAAGAGAATTAAATTTAGTCTGCTTTGACACATAGATTTGTTTCTAGAAAGGAATGTTAAAAATTTTAACTGATATTTCTTAATGGTGGAACTATTTTTCCCCCAGCAAATATACCTCTAAATTATAATAGAGGCATATAGGAAAACAGGATTTAGGGTACCAATTTTCAATTTCATTGTTATGCCTAATGGATTTAGAAAGGTCAGGTTAGAATTTTTTTTTTTTTTTTTAAATAGGAGAGAATCCTGTCAACTTGAACCAGTCAATTGGTCCTTATCATTGTTCTTTTAAGCATAAATGTGAGAATTAATTAGTATTGTCAACTCACTATAATAGTGCTTTCATTATTTTTATGTTTTTATAGCTTTTGGGCAACTTCAAAGATAAGGAACGTACCATAATTGCACAGCAAGTAAAAGATAAAAAGGTCTGGATAGGAATCAAGAAGCTGCTAATGTTGATCGAGATGTCCCTACAGGTAAGTCATATCCTTCCCCATATGATTTAGACATAGAAACTTCATATGCCTTTCTGTTTGCTCAAGTTTTAATTTGTTATAATTTCCATATATTATTTTAACTCAAGTTGATATTAATAGCCTGAGATCAAACAATAATTTATTGGTACTTTTCTTTCCCACTTCTTAAAATTCAAAAATAGAACAAAAGGTTATAAAGTTATTTTAAGTTGTATATTTTTAATATTTTTATTGATTTCAGAGAGCAAGGGAGAGGGGCAGAGAGAGAAACATCAATGATGAGAAAGAATGATTGATAGGCTGCTTTTTGCACGCCCCCTACTGGGGATTGAGCCCGCAATCTGGGCATGTGACCTTGACTGGAAGCGAACCTGGGGCCCTTCAGTCCACAGGCCATACCCTATCCACTGAGCCAAACCAGCTAGGGCTATTTTAAGTTTTAACTTTGGGAGTCACTAGTCCGTAGAAGTAGAAAGAACTTCAAAGAGCAATTGTTCTGCTGCCCCCTCATTTTAGAGTTATTGTCCTGCTGCCGCTCATTTTAGAGATGACAGTGCCAAATGTCCCACAAGTTGTCAATGAGTTATCCAAGGTCACAGCCCATTGATGGAGGGGGATGATGTTGTCCATCAGAGATCAGGCAGCTACCACACATACACCAAAAGGGGCCTGGGAGACTGTTTTAAGAGACAAAGTAATTCCGTTGTGCAGACTAGACTTGGGCTCTGTATATTTTCCCCTGCCCTGGGCTCCTAGAAATGTCATGCAAACTACTATATAGTTAATTACCCATAGGAAAACAGAGCTCCAGGCTATTGCCTGGGCAAAGATGAAACTTCTTTGGGCCTTTCTCGCGTCTACTGGCAATTTACCTTTTCTCTTTTTGGAACTCTCCCCCTCGGTGTACCCATCCTGTGTCTTATGCTTATCTAGTTAGATAATAAATGTATCCTAACCACGCTCTGTGAGTGAGTTCAGAGACGTTGGCTGTCACTCACTATTGAATCCAGCCCCTGGAACAGAGCCAGACACATAGTAGGGTGCTCAGTGAACGTGCATTGAGTTTACTGAGGTCCTAGGCTACATTCTAAGCACACGTATTACTGCTGAGCCCCGCCACTGATCAGTGTGCGCAGTGGGTGGTGGAGGTGGTGTCATTTACAACTGAAATAGGCTCTTGGACCACTAACAGATTGGAAAGACGAACTGAATGCTTTTTAATCTTTGCTGGTAAATTTATTTTAAAATAAAATTGTGGTTTTCAGGAACCTAAAGTTTAATTTATCGAACTGTCATCCAGACTACTTTTAAGCTGATTTATTTATTTCCCATTTTGAGCAGTAAGTTAAAGTTACAGACTAATCACTTTGCTTAGGATTTTTCTTGGTAAAAGTGCATATACAGATGTATTGGCTCTTTCCTTGGAAAAAGATAAACCTGTCAGATAATCAACTCTTCATTTTTTTAGTTTCAACACACTTTTTTTCAATAATTGCATAGAAGAAACTATGTGGGTTTTTCTCCCCAACCCCTACCCCTTCCTCTTGCTTTCATGCCTGCAGGTCAGTGATCAAGTTAATGCCTCTTGTGTATGTGGGGTAGAAAGTGAGAGTGGGGCACTCAGGCCTAATCTTCAGCGACTGACACTTCATAGGCCTCTGAGTTTGAACCCCTTCATGTCAAATGGATTTCGTGCAGCTGAGTGAATTCTCTTTAGATCTGCCTTAGAGAGACTGAGCCTAAGTGAAGAGGCACGTAGTCTAGCAGAATATAAGTCATGTTGCCTCTCTGTTCACTATACACAATTCTGTTAAAACTTGCAGAGTGCCGAGGATCTGCTCTGACTGGATGTCACCTGAGGGAATAAAGTCATTTATCTAGATTACTTTTTTCCTCCCTTTCTCTTGACTTTTAATTCCATAGCTACAGGCAAGTCAGTAAGTCGTTGCTCACACATATTAAATATATTTAATGGGCAAAGACCTGCAAGTACTGACTACAACTGAGCTCCAGCCAGTTCCATTTTTTTTAAGAAGTTGACAATTGATTCATATGTAATTCTATTCCCAAAGAAGAAAAATGTTTCTTTTGTTAGCTATTCACACTTTTTTTTAGTCCTTTGTAGTCTGACCTCTTAACTTTGATACATTTGAAACTTCTATACTTCTGGGATAGAGGAGATCTTTAAAAAAAGAAAAAAAAAGAAAGAAAGAAAGAAAAGAAAGGTAGGTAGAGGGGGAATCCAATTGCACATTTACCCACAGCTGCACCGAGCATTTGAAAGCTATTCCTGGAGGGCAGAGAGTTCCCTCTTGGGAAACAGATTCTTGCCTGGAACATTTTTTTAAAGTTAGGTGTGTTTCTTACAATAAAAATCCATCTCAGTGAATTAAAGATGTTTTTAATGAGCATATTTTTATCTTTCTGGTGGACCAATGAAAATTGAATATAGTTAAACAAATTAGTTAAATGTGAATATAAACTGGAACTTAATAGTTAATTATAATGACCTGAACATAGAGCTTGAACCAGAACTCCTCCATCTTTTCTTAGACTCACGACACCATTCTCATCACAGGAGACTTGGATTATCCTGAGTTAGAGGAGTCAGTCCCACTCTATTTTTTTAGTTTCAGCATAAGTTTTTTTTATTATTATTAATTGCAAGAGCAGTTGGTTTCTTCAAGTTTGATCTCACTTTTATGCTTTAGATGAGTCCTAAGAATTGGATGCCATTTAAGCCCCCATGAATGGCCACTGTCTGATCTCACACTAGTCTTCTTGGGCATGCTATCTCCTCACATAGCTCTCCCTAAAGGAGCATGCAGCTGAGGTGTCTGTGAATGACTAGCTGGGCCATTTGGAACCTCGAATAGAGTAATTCCCTAGCTAGGAAATCCCATTCACTTCTCTTGAATGATGCAATCTGCTTCCTGTGTGTCAGAATGCTGGTCAGAGAACAGGTAGCACATTTCTGTGACTCAGCAGAGCATGATGGAAGTCTGAAGCTCAGGATTTTCTTGGCATGAAGTAAGTGCATAGTTATTAGAAGGCACCATTAACCCATCTTCTTTATTTCTTCTGATGTATTTAGATGGATCCTGAATACCGTGTGAGAAAATTCTTGGCTCTCTTAAGAGAAGAAGGAGCGTAAGTATGTATATACAACACTTAAGACTGTCAACCAGACTTACCACTCTTTTAAATCCCAGTGCCTGTTCTACAAGTTGCTTGCTCAACAGTGCATACTATGTAAATTCCAAATCTCAACCTTTCTTGGACAACTGTTTCCATTTATAGAATTCTTCTCTGTGTTGTAGGTCTGAGAGACCAAGCAAGGAAATTGGTTGTTGTACTGTTGGTTTGCTTTCCCTGTGCTGCTTCGCACATCTCCTTGTCATAATGCAGGAAAAGCTTAATGATACATATTTGTTGGGACCTGCTTATAAGTGCATGGAGCTATGACCACTTCCCTTTGTGACATGTTCATCTCATAGCACGTGCATAGTGAAAAGTTTACCAAAGCCTTTAAGAAGCTCTTAGTGATTTTTGCGATGACCTTTTTGCAAACCCTCATCTGTTTCTTGTGTTTGGGATATTTCTTTTTCAGTCGCTCCCTTGACTTTGAAAATGGACTATTTGCACACACATAGTGACCAAGCTAAAGATGGCCTGGGATCATCACTGGATTTACTCAAGACCCTAAATGAAGTGAATTGTCCCCTGCCTTCAACACGTGCTCACTCTGCATGATCAGTGCAATAAAAGTCCCCTCCTTGTGCTTATCCAGATAGTCCACTCCTTTGTGGAAGGTACAGACTTGCTTTAGAATGCTGTGCTTACTCTTCCCTGCAAGCTAAGGTGATTCCTTCTTCCTCACTCTTTAAGTGTGAGAGATACACTGTACTTGTGAACACTACTCATTTTAAGCTCCATACTCTCCCCTCCACCCAGAAACTCCCAATAAATGTAATGATGTTGCAGGACAACGCTTGGCCTATCACTAGGAAGACTTTCTACAGGTAAACCCGGATCAGGGAGGGCTCACAGGGCCTGTCATACACCTTCCCCGTGCGTTTGGTTGACGTTCTCCCAGAACGCTGGTCGTTACCTTTGCCTGAAGAAACGGGGCAGGCTTTGGATTTCTAAGACGCTGTTCTCAATCATTTCCAGAGATGTTTCCAAGCTGCAATCAGGAGACCTTTCTTAATAGAAAGTCAGTATTGCTGTGTTTGCTATGACATCCCCTGAATGGTACTGATTTCCTCTGTGGTAAGAGATATGGCCATCATTACCATCTGATAGGTGTTATTAAAAACTTGTGAAAGATGTATGGGAAAAGGCATTAAAATAATTTACAATTCTCTCTGCATTAATTAGGGTCCAACTCTAAATGAGTCAGTTCCTTAGCATAATACTAAAGGCTTATTAGCATCACCACTTCTCTTTTTCCCTTAGCTTAATGACTAACTTAGAATGTATCCTTCCTTTATTTTAATTGTCTGTACTGTCTAGCATCTAAATAGAAAACTGTTTTCCAGAAGAAAAAAATATATATCACTTTACAGGTCTCTCTCCTCAGTCCTTTAACGTCCATTCCAATACACTTAATACATTTCCTCTACCTTCTTCTCGTTTCTTCCAAAGGCTTTATCTTATAACTGAATTAGAAGGAATTTAAATAGGACATCATGTTTGGTGATGAGACCTATGGAGCATGCTACTCTCCCCATTGCTGCTTAAAATGTGAGGAAAGCAATCAGAAGCCATCTGCAGCTGCCCATGAAGCTCACTGCCACAATGGCGCTTGGGTGTAGCTCGGCCAGCTGTCCCCATGGCACAAGGCAGATTATCTCCAGATCTTACTATCTGCATATTTTTGGTAGACTTGTATGTCATGTCTACTTTGTTTCAGCTTTTCATTCTTGCTGCTTTGTGGCTTTTCAAAAAGTGGACTGTATTGTGAAATTCTGTGATTCCTGGTAGCCAGTACCCTGGGTTCCCTTTAGATCTTTCTTGCCTCTTTTCTCTTCCCACGAAGACAACATGCATTGTACTATAAATTATGTCTCTTATTCAGTGAAGTTCATGTCTTTGTGTTTTGTCCAAAACTATATTGAAAAATATAAATATTATATTGTTTAATGCAAATGAAAGAATGCAATAAAGAGTATATATACTTGAAAACATCCTGTAGACCAATATTTTATATAAAACTATATGTAACTGATATGTATGAAGAAGAGGGCTCAGAAAAGACCTTCTGGATGTTTTGTTATAACTATCATAAGGAGATAGATAATTTTTATTTAAAAATCTCTGATTTGGGCCCTGGCTGGGCAACTCAGTTGATTAGAGTATCATCCTGATACGTCAATACTGTGGGTTTGGCCCCTGATCAGGGCGCATACATAAAAGAGTCAACCGATGAATGCATAAATAAGTGGAACAACAAATGAATCTCTCTCTCTCTTTCTCTAAAAAAACAACAACAAAAAAACACACACAGAGAAGTCTCTCATTTTCATTATCTTGAAAATATAATTAAAAAATACAGATCAATAGCATTTTTAAAAGTTAATGCACAACAAGAATCTTTACATTTATTTTACTTATTTCACCTTATTAAAAAAAAAATGTGACCAAGTCATAATTGGGTTAAACTAGAAAGTAAAATTGTTTCTCAAGTTGAATTACTTCATCCTATGAAATGTACAAACCAAGGGAATCAAACACTCTGTGAGATTTTTTTCCCATGGTTCATTGTACATCCTTCATTCTTTTTACATGTTTCTGAACTATCAGATCTCTTAGCCTAAATAAAACCTGGCCCTTGCAGTTGGTTCGGTTAGGACTAATGGCGGCCCAGAAAGTCAGAGTCTGTGGGAAGAGGCCAACTCAGAGCCTCTCTGACAGCGGGGTCACGGCCCTCCTCTCAGGTCCCTGGGTAGCCTCTAACAGGTGGAGACTGGAAGCTCCGAGTCCTCTCCAAAGTCAATGCTGAGCAGAGAGCATACGAGATCGTAGCCAGCCTGCTAAGGAAGCAGCGGTCCTCCAGCTAGCTGCTGCCGTGCTTTTCTTCATCTATGGATGAACTGTTAACAGGCTATTTCTTTTTTGTCAAAAGATATCATTAAAGCCTAAAAAAAGAGGTTTATCCTTTTTTTTTTTTTTTAATCCTAAATTTGTACATCTTCACTGAAAACACTTTTTAAAATGTAACACAGAAAACTGTATACTGGTAGTTAAAATCTGAAATATGTATTGCTTTAAGTCTGTTTTTTCAGATCCTAAAAACTTCCCCTTGAAGTTTCAGCAACAAGCCATGGAGTAGGTTCAAGTGTGTGTATAATAATCAAATCTTGCTAAACACACTGTGGAAGCGTTGAGTCAGCTATACACAGCCAACCCAGCCCAAACACAGAAGGTAAAAGCAAGATTTCATTTTTCCTTGCCTGGCAACGTGATCCATAGCCTTTTCAAAATAGTGACAGGGAAAGGTGTGTAAGAGAGTTCAAAAAAGCATGTAAATTTCAGAAGTTATTGCAAAATGATCTAAGTTTCTCATCCGCTGGCAAGCAGTGCTGAGACTAGGGCCTGGAGCAGGGCCCTCGGCTGTGTGTGGATGGGTACCATAGCATCGAGATGCAGGAGATAGCGCCGTGATCGGCAAGATTCCCAAGTAGTGAAGGCAGGATTTGCAAGGACTCGTGTTTGAAAATTTCCCCGTATACAGCCTCCACAGCTGCCTTTATCTCACTATTTGGGGAGTTTAGGACTAATGAGTAGATAATTTTTTGCATCCTAGAAAGTTCTCTGTCAAGCTAGGAGAAATGATGACAGGGTGGTGGCCATCATTTTGCTGAAATAACAATCACTGTATATGTGTGTGTATGTCAGCCACGCATGTACAGTCCTTAGACCCAAGGCTGGCGGGGATACTCCACTGAATCATTGGATACATCTCTGGATACAGCTAGCATCATCTCACCACCCATCATCTCCCCCTTGCTTTTTCCGTACCCTCTTTCTTTTGCCCTCATTTGTACCTTATCCCATCATCCTTGAACACACTCACACTTTCCCCCTCCTTTCTTCGTAAAATAATACTGCTTTGAAAGATATCTTCGTTATATTTTTTTTCTTTCTTTTGGATCTTTTCTAAAACTTCCTCATACCTTTAGATGTTTATTAGTATTTATGTTTACAGAGATGCTAAATGTTCGGCGCTGCTATAAAGTGTATTCTCTTTAATCTAGAATATGATTAATCATAGAGAGGATTACAAGTGGCCTTGGTAAGTATGAGTAGGGACCATTTAAATATTTGGCAATCTTAAACATACCCAGAACACGGGTAGATGAGTACTAACTTTACATAAAAGCTGAATACAAAGGTAAGCAGCGTGTTAGGGTGTGGAGATCTGTATACTTTCCGTGTCCGAAGCCTTGCACGGCTCAAAACAACCATTTTTGTGGTTTCAGCTTTTCAGGGGCCAAATAAAATGCATGAATTTCTAGTAGCCATTCCCAATCTAAGGTTAGAGGTCTGGCAACCCATCTCCACCGCACAAGGCAGACTGCTTTACTTTTCTGTTGTTGTCTTTTGTGAAATTAGATGAATAAAATTTGTTGCTAATAAAGGTAAATCGGGAGGAAAGGAAAGATGGAGAGAAAGAAGGGGAGGGAGGGAAGGAGGGAGGGAGGGAGGAAAAGAAGATGGAAAGATTTTTACTGTGCCAAATAAACTGAAGATGACTTTATGGGTAGTCTGGAGACATTTTATGTCTGTTGTCATAAAACCGAGTTACGGCATCTCATTGCTCAGAAGGTGTTCCTTGTGGACCTCGGGTGAGTCCTTTGAAACTGCAGTCCAAGGAGAGGGTGCCTTTACCTAGAGCATGGTGGGTCCTTTCTGCCCAGACCAGCTTAAAGCTTTAAACGACAACTGTTCCAGACAATTCAGAGCTCGGAGGACCCTGCCTCTTCTCCCTGACCAGCCTGGCCCTTGTGTGGCTTAGTCTCCAGCAAAACTAGCAAGGCCATTTGCAGTCAAGTTTCATTTTCAGTAGAGCAAATGCTATGTTCCCAATAAGCGGAGTTGAAAACATGGGTGAGGAAAGGATTGAGTCAGTGGCCAACATCGTGGTCTGCTGGCCTTGAGCCACATCTTTGAGTGTCTGTGACATTAATTTGTGTATTGGGACTGCTGGAGTCTATGAAATGAATTACTGCCCACATTGCTTATTTCTGAAACTGGAAATTCTTTGTTAGAAGCTGTTTTAGAACAAAGTAAGCCTGTGAGAAAGTCTTAGAGTACATCAGGCCTACTGTCCATGACGTGTCTCCGATTATCTTGCTTGGAGAACAGAGGAAATGAACTTAATTTGGGCCACTAATTTAAGAGTGAGAGCTGAATTCAGATCTTAATATTCTTGACCTCCTGAGGATTAATCTGGAAACTCCACACATTGTACAATGTATCCATTTTAAGTTTACCTTCTCTTTAATGACTTAACAGAAAAAAACTGCATGATGAAATATATTTTCTCCAAATATATATATATTTATATAATATATAATCTTAGTTAACTCAAAGGTATATACATTGTATAATAAATAATATTTATAAAAAGAGACTTTTTGAATATAAAATCAAAAAGATCAACAACTTCTACAACTTTTTACAAAACTTTGGATACAGCAGGTTGGTAGGAAATTTCTGTTGGATACTATGACCTGACTACGGCAAGAATAATTACAATGCACTCAATGTACTGTTATTAAATAATCACTTGTCAGCTACTTGAAGACGCCCCAGAAACATGACTTTATCACTTTTAATATAGAATACATAGATATGAAAAGACTGGTTTGAAAATTTGTGTCCATTCTGCTGAAATAATTCTCACATAAAGCAAGCATTATCAGGTTGACACGATTTAAAACTTTGTAGCCTAAGATGAGATGAGGAGGGGCGTTAGAGGTTCTACAGAGGGGATGGGGTGTGTATCTGAGCAGGGCTCGTGGCCAGCAGATTCAGGAGTGCAGGCCTGGCTTCTAGACAACGTCTTGGCAAACCTGTCTGAGCACGTGCGGAGATCGCCTGACCCCGCTCTCTCAGGCCAGTGTAAGGTAGACCAAAGAGAAGGGAGAAGAGGAAGAGAAAGCTGTTCTGCACTCTAGCCCTGCTGCAGCCCCTTCTGGCTCTCCTTAAGACCGAGCTGTTGGATTGGTCCATACCATCGGCTCCGTTTGCCCCCGTTTTGCTGGCTTCCTCTAGGATACCGAGGACCACTGTGGATCACCGAGAACTCAGCTGGGAGCGCTTTTCCCCGAGGAGCAGGTGACTGCTTGCCCCCTTTGAACACCTAATCCTCACCCTCAGTGCTGCACGGGTTGATGCTTATCAGCATGCAGGTGAGGCCAGAAGCTCTGCCTTAGAGAACTCAGAACTCGCTCGGGCCAAAGAAAGAAAAGGATGCAGGAAGGCATGTCCTTACTGGAGAGGAAATGAGGACTCGTTTTTTGTTTTTTTTTTTTACCCTCGCCGTCTACTGGTCTCCAAACTGGAACTTCAGGAATAGACTGCTCCTCTCTCACTGGCCCTCTGTCTCACTTACACCAAGGTGGCCAACTGCTCACCTGGTGTTTTGGTGGAGAGTCTGCAGGTGAGCAGGACTGGAGGGGATGGAGCGGCCTCTTCCAAAGATACCACTCCTTTCTTCAGGAAGCCATTCGGGGTGGAGAAGGCTTGTGCTCCCCTCTCCCCCATACACAGCCTATTTACAACATCCACTACAAAACAAAACAAAACAAAAAAAACGTACTGCATTCCTGGTGGGAACTGCAGAAAGGTAGAAAAAGGTTTTGAAGAGCCTCTGGTGCGGAACAGCATGGCAGAGAAAACGAGGCTGAGAACACACTGCTGTCCTCCAAACAGCTTTCCAGGGCACCTAGAAGTTCTTCAGAACGAAACCCCACTCTCAGCATTGCCTCGGGCCTCCCTACCACGACATTCTCGCTAGACCTATGGCTTTTATCAGCTCATGAACGTGTACCGGTTTGAATGGGAGGGAGCAGAGGAAAGGAGACTGCAGGGGTCTGTCCTACTTCCTAACTCCCACCCCCAGCATCCCGGGACGTCCCCAGGAGAAGCGGTCTGGAAACAGTCTTGCCCATGCTGATGTCTGGATCACCAGGCAGAGCGCTCACATTAGCCCAGCCTGTTCCACTGGAGTAGAAATGGTTTTCCGTTTTTATTTTCTTTAACATGTGCAAAGAGAAGCCTCGGATCTATTCCTATCAGACCCCAGAGAACTAAAAAGAAAGCCCCTTTAGACACCATCCACCATCCAGAGTCGGGTGAGAAACGTAAGATGAGAGAGGGAGGGAGGCCTCCCAGTCAGCGGGCGGTCGGGTCCAGGCAATTTACCACACGTGCATCTGGCAACAGTCGGGATTCCTTGCTGTCGATGCTGAGGGCTGAGCTGGCTGAGGTCCTGCCCGGGACTTCAGTGAATCTGCCCAGCCGCACGCTTCACCGTTCCCAGCGCCCTTCGGAAAATAAAGAGGAAGAATTAGAAACATAATTGCTTTCCCAGGGAGACCACCCATAGGGGTGCAAAGATCACAGGCTGATGACAGGAGAGCTCAACATTTGTCTTGTGCTTGGAGGCCATGGGGACCTTGAGTGGCTTTTCCCGGCTCCCTCCTGAACTTGGGGTCCACCGCTGAGGAAGGAAGTGTGGTCTATAGGAACAGTAGGGCTTTAGCATCCACTGACTGGACCCAGACCCTATCTCCCTGGCCACCTCGCTGGGGCCTGGGCGACAGGAAGCCTGTAGCAGGTGACCACCCCAATGCAGGAAGCTGTCTTGTGTGGATACTGGGAGGAACCTGGCAGGTGCAGCCCCCCCCTGTGAGTGCCAGAGCCATGTCCTGGTGGATAGTGGGGACACTGTGCTGCCTCTGGCCATAGTGGACATCAGAGGAGGTGGCCACTGTACTTTCAGACATCCCTTCCACCTTGGCCAGCCACAGTGAGCCTGTGTGTTCTCTGTCGCTTGCGGACTTGTCTCCTATCATTGGGAAAGGCAGTAAATGGACCTACCCAAGTGATGACACTGGTTCACTGCTCGTGACCACTCATGACACACTCCCTGATGGCATTTAGCACTTTCTATTAGTAAGTGGTCACACCTCTTAGCTCATTTGAGTCTCATAAAGCTGCTGCCAGGCTCCCATTATCATCACCTCTGCCGAGCTGAGGAAACAGGTGGAAGGTGCCACGGCTGGTAAGCAGAGGAATGGGAACCACCCTTCTAGACGGTCCCTCCTGGCTTCCCAGATGGACTGGTTAAGTCACCCCTCACCAGAACTCTCCCATGATGTCGGGTCCCCCCCAGTCCCATCAGCACAAGCAAGCACCCCAGCTCTGAGGTGTGGAGGTGCCCTTCCTTGACACAGCCCCAGTCAGCGATGACCCAGGCATGCAACCTCTGCCCTGAACCAGTCACTGCCCCCAGGTTCTTCCTTTCCTCCTAGCGCCTCCAGGGAGGATGACTTTAAAGACTCAGTCTGGGTCCCACACGTGGCAGGAGCCACCCCGGGGTTCCTGCCTTTGTATGTTTGGCTCCTTCTCAGGGCAGAGGAAAGGGAGAAAGGGAACATTGGCCTCAGAGCACTGCACCCCCAGGACTCCTGGGCCACCCCACATCCACCAGGCCCTACCTGGGGACGGACGAGGCCGAGAGCCAGGCACACCGTCTCCCACGCCGGCCACCTCTGGGAAGCTTGGCAGCATAATCCGCCAGCCTTTGATCCCTTGATTACTCACCACCGTCACTCTGAACTTGACTCCTTCCTCCTCCCCATCACCATCCATAAACTCCGTGAGAGAGCACCCACTCCACCCAAGCTTCAGATGTGTCAGGATATGGGCTTATCCACAGCTTCCCCCCACCCACCTCCCCGAGGTTGGTAGGGTTTACGCCTGTGCAAAAACCTGCCCTCGAAGTTCAAGGTGGGTGCAGAAGGACTCTGCCCCAGGGTTTTAGAGGAGACTTTTCGGCCTACTGTCTCACGTATTTAACCTCCTTCCTTCACAGCCAGGCAACAGGCCCGGAGAAGTGGTGGCACAGGAAGTTAGGGGCAGAGTTGGCCCCAGAGGTCAGGTCTCCAGTGTCCCCACAGTTCCAACCCAAAGGTGCTCAGTAATGAGAGCAGCCTTAATCCACCAACCTTTGATCAAAAAATTTGACCTGGCTCAACATAAACAGGTACAAGAATTTCAATCAACCGCTCGCGGCCTCCAGAGCACACACACTTGGGGACTTGGACAGGGTGGTCAGGAAGAGATGGACAAAGCCAGGCCCCCTCCCCCCGGCCTCCCACCCCGCCACCCTACCTGGCTCCCTACTTGCAGGTGTGCACGTCGTAGATGCGGACGCACTCCTGGCAGCTCACGTAGCAGCACCAGTGGAAGATGCAGTGGCACTTCTCCTTCCGCTTCTCCGTCCTCGTGTTGTGGCCGCGGCCGCAGCAGAGCAGGTCGCAGCCGTCGATGCCGTGGGAGGTGACGTTGCAAGTCCTGTCCCGGGTGCCAAAGGAGCCCGTCTCTGGGTTGGGCTCGCAGAAGTTGGGGGAGTTCTCGTAGTAGACCAGGTCCCGCTCGGTGGGCGGCTTGAAGAGCGCGTACTTGGCGCGCAGCGTCTCCACCCAGCCGCGCGACTCGCGGTGCTTCTCCACCACCATCTCCGAGGCGCTGTCGTACTTGTCCTTGAGGAAGTCGCCGATGGCGCGGAAGTCGGGCTGCGCCCACCAGCAGGTCTTCACCTCGCAGCTGCCCGACAGCCCGTGGCACTTGCACTTGAGGTGCATGTGGTCCAGGATGGTCTGGGGAAGAGAGGCAGCCGCTGGCCCCCGGACGGACACCCCTGGGAGCACCCCGGGGGGTCCCCCTGCTCCGCCGCCAGCCCCGCCCTGGACGGAGCCTGCTCTCCCTCCTCTGGGCCCGGGGAGCGCTGGGGGAGGCCCAGGCCCGGACCCAGAGAACCGTGACTACTGACGGCTTCCCTCCCCCCCACACACACCCCAGGCCTCCCTTCGCCAAGGCTGTAATGAACAGGGGCTGTTTCCCACGTGTAACAGGTGGGAAAGCTGCGGGGGAACGTCAATGCCTCGCCCTAAGGCAGCCCGCCACGGGAAGGGGCGGAAGCTGAGCGCAAAGCCAGGCCCGCAGGCCCACCGGCCGCCCCACGCACGGCAGGGGCTGCAGCTGCGCCCGCAGCTCCGCCACCCTCCGCCCAGCGCGGCCCCGCGGCCCCCGGGCCAGACCGAGGCTCCAGGTGAACACAAGGGGCGACTGGGCGGGGGAACCCCCAAGCCTAGCCTAGGGGAGGGGGCAGAGCGGGGAGCCCCGGGCGCACAGGGCTGCGGGAGGGGTGGAGGCCGAAGGGGAAGGGGCAGGGCTGGGAGGGAGCCCCAGGAAGGGTCGCCAGCGGGGCAGCTGCGCTCACCGTGCGGCCCGCCTCGTTGTTGTGCTTGTTCATGGCCGAGCGCGCGTCCGGCCTGTTCTCGCGGGCGTCCGCGAACTCCCGGGACACCAGCACCCCGAAGTCGGCGTCCTCGCTGCAGCCGCCCCACTTCCAGCCCTCGCCGGGGGGCCCCTTGTGGTGGGAGTCGCAGCCGCAGATGGTGGAGGTGCCCTCGGCGCAGGAGCGCGTGACGGCGAAGGCCACGCCGGCCGAGGCGATGGCGTGCACGAAGGCCGACTCGCGGGTGGCTGCGGGGGGGTGGGGAGGGGGTGGAGGCATCGCTTAGGCCAGTCTCAGCCCCCAGCCAGGCCAGCAGGGGTGGGGTGGGGTGAGGGTGCTGGGGAAAGAGGGTATCCCCACTATACGGATGGGCAAACTGAGGGCAGGGCCCCCGGCTGATTAAAGCAGAGCCGTAACACCTGGCGGAGGGAGCCGGTGAGGCACGGGTGGGAACGCAGCTGGCAGGTGACCTAAGAGATGGGGCGGCCCTGATGGGTCCTGGTCCCAGACCCCCTGCCCTGTCTCCCCAAACCCCAGAGACCCCAGCACCGTCCTGAGGGCCTGAGGCCTCGGGAAGAAGGCTGGGACCTGCAGCCTGGCCCAGCCAGCGCCCTCCCCCCTCCCCGTGCCCCACCGGGGGCGCCTGGGCAGAGCCTTCCTTTCTGAGCCTGTTTCCCTCCTCACAGAAGGGGGACCTGACCCGGGGGTGGTGACTGGCATGTGTCTCCCTCTCCCTCCGCTTCTCCTCCCAGACGAGGCCAAGGTTTAGGGCCTAGCCGGTCAGGGCCCTCCTGGGGGGAAGAGGACAGGGCCTAGCGAAGACAGAGATTCTCGGGGATGTTCCCAACCTCGTTGTGGTGACCCTCTGGGTGCTCCGTGGGCTCCAGATTCTCCCCTCCGGGGGCTACTTCCCATTTAATCCCATTTAATCCTCTCCCCCCGGAGGGGTCCATTCTGCAGATGCACTAACGCCTGGGCCCAGCCGGGAGGCATGCATCCCCTCATGGCGGACCCAGAGCAGGGACGGGGCTGCCCACGGCCTCGCGGGGCGAAGGGCCGGCCTCGGAGGGGTCAGCCCTTTCCAAGCCGCCTGACCCTTCGGGAGCCTGTGTCCCGGGGCCCCTCTCCCCGCAGGCCACCTGCCGGGGAGGCCCGTCCCGCCGCCCCATGGGAACGGACTGCAGGGAGGGCGCACGGCGGCCAGGGGGCGCCACGGCCTGCGGCTCTGCGCCCCGGCTCCGACCCGCCCCCGCCCCCGCCCCCTCCCATCCATCAGGGTTCAGGGTTCAGGGTTCGGGGCAGCCAGAGCCCGGGCCCCGCTTCCGGCCGGGCTCGCGGCCTCGGGCGGCGGCGGGAGCGGCCGCGCGGTTCCCAGCGCGGGGCCGGGGGCGGGGGCGGATTAGCCTGGGAGCGGCGCTGGCGGCCCGCTGCGCCGTCCCCGTCCGGCGGGGCCCGCGGCGCCGCTCAATCCGCCTTTGTTCCGCGGAGTCACACCGCATTACCCGCATAAAGCGCCGCCCGGCCGCCCGCCGCCACCGCGTAGCAACGGGGGCCCCGGGCCGGCCGCGCCCCCGCCCGGCGCCGCCCGGACCCCGTGGAGGCGGCGCCCGCCCCGCCCCCGCCCGCGGCCGGAGGGCGTGTGAATGGCGGGGCCGCAGGGCGCGGGCCGGGCGGCGCGGCGGGGGCGGCGCTCAGCGCTTCCCAGGCCGCCCGACCCCTCGGGGCGCCCGGGAGGGGGGGGGGGGCGCTCTGGGGCCGCCGCGGCCTCCGCCTTCCGGCCCGTGACCCCGGCGCCCCCGCCCCGCCCCGGTCCCCGCTCCTGGGACCCTGCCCGGGGGCGCCCGGCTCCGCGGAAGGTGCGCGCCCGGGGCGAGGCTGGCCCCGGCGGCCCGGCTCCGGACCCGGCGCGTGTGCGCGGGGCCTGCTCCCCCGAGGCCTCTGAGCCTCATCAGGTTCCCACCCCTGACCTGCCCCCCCTCCCCTGGCGCCCATCCGCCCTCCTGCAGGTTCGGGGCGCTACGTGTCTGGGACCCAATGGTGATGGGAGCCGGGAGCCGGGAGCCGCGGGCGCGGACGGCGATGGGCCGGGGCGGGTCTGCGCCGCCGGCACCGGGCGGCCGGAGGGGAGGTTTGGGGGCCGCGCCCGGGCGCCGGGCTGTGTGCTGGGCGCTGCCCGGCCCGAGGCGGGGCCCGGGAAGGCGGACAGACCGACACGCCGGCGAGATCAGGTTTGAGAGGAAAACCGCCGCCACTCGGCCGCAATTAGAGGCCAAGCCTTCCGTGTAAACAAGCAATCATTAGCTTTGGTAACTGCAGCGCCGACAGAACCGTCATCCATTGATTCGCTAATTGCCTTCGGCCCCATGACAATGGCCTGTGAATCGGACTTGCTCTGCGAACCCCAGGTGAAGGGGGGGCCGCGCTCTGAAATGGGGTTTGGGGCGGTCAGCCCCACCACCACCACTCCCTGCCAACACCCGCCCCTCTCTCCTCCCCAAGTCCCTCTAGGCTTTCAGATTCCCTTCCTTCCTTCCTTTTTTAGATTCTTTTTCTTTCTGGCTGTAAATGCAGCCCCCCTAAAAGGAGGGGGGGCCGGGCTCACGGTTGGGGTGGCAAAGGCTTGGTGATGGGGGGAGGATTCACGATGCTGGGAACGGGGTGGCGGCCCCCAGGGCCAGCTGGGAGCATCAACCCCCCAGATCTGCAGATTCTCAGGGAATGGCCCATCTTCAAGCCAGAACTCACCGGGCCAAAGCCCCTTCTCCCAGGGAGCAGCTGTCCCCCATCCCTCCCACCAAGTGCCTCCCTGCTCTAAGGCCCCTGTGCGCCTCCAGGGGCGGTGCAGCCAGTTAGATCCCAGGTGGTGAGATAGCTGGGCGGTCAGTCACCCAGAGGCCACCGCCCGCTCTGGCCCCTCCACAAGCCAAGGGCATGTCCAGCTTGCAGGGGGGTGGGTCCAGCAGGAGGTTCTCACGGAAGCTCTTGGGAGCCATGCAGTGCCACCAGCACCACGCATTGTTCTCAGCTCTAGAATTTTCTAAATGGGAAGGACATAGGGGTGACCGTGCCCTCGCCCTACCCCGCCCAAAGCTACATTTGCATAGCACTTCACACAGCCTGGGGGAAATGTCACATCAAAGCTGGGCCCGCGGTGCAGGCTGAGGGGGAAGGAAGGCGGGAACCTAGAGCATCTGGAGGCTGCGCCCAGGAAGGCGTGGCAGTCATGGTGACAGCGTGGGTCTGCCCAGAGAAGGACTTGACCTGTGTTCTGTGGAGGCCCCCGGTCGTGACCAGCTTTATCACTCTCGCCGGGGGACCCTGGGCTCAGAGCTAAGGCACCCCGAGATGGAAGGAGAGTCGCTTGATCCTGATGGTCTTCCCCACCTCCCCACCCCGTCCCGGTGGGCGCAGAGCCGATACCTTTGTCCAGGACGGGCCCGAAGATGGCCAGGCTGTCGTCGATGGTGGTGCAGTTCCAGCGGCGGCCCCGGAACTGGTGCTGGCACTCCTGGATGCCCAGCTTCACGCCCTCCGCCACGCTGGGCATGATTTCGATGTAGTTGCGACAGAACCGCAGTTGCTTGGGGACCAGGCCCGGGATGGAGCCGCAGAGCAGAGGCTGGGAGCCCAGCGACGTGTACTGCTGGCCCAGGGCCAGGGACCTGCGGGCACACAGAAGGCAGTGGCGCTGCAGGCACAAAGCACAGGGCCTGTCGCGGGCATTGTAGCCCTCCAGAGCAGGGAGAGCCACACAGGCCCCGTGAGTCTGAGCCCATGAATGCTGCCCTCGGCGGGCAGAGCCTGATCCAGGCAAAGTCAGCCCTCTGACGCGGACATGTCCGACGTGCAAGGACATGGGGGCCAGCAGACACCTCCTGAGGGCACCTTGGGGGACAGAGCAACTTCATGAATGAGCCAGGGACGGCAAGGATGGTGTTGGGCCCAGGTCAAGTCCCTCCCAGGCTCTGGACTAGTTTCCCTGAAGGGCCCTGAAGGGATTGGTCTGGGAACCTCCCAGGGAGGCTAGGTTTTGGGGGCCACAGGAGACTGTCGATGACCCGTGGAAAGGAACCCGAACCTAACAGGAGGAGGACCTCCAGCCCCAGCTCAGAAAAAGCAGGGAAGCCTCCGTCCCCACAGGGAGCTTACACACACAGTACAGTGATATGGATGCCTTGGGAAGTGGGTCCAGAAGACCCCGGGCAGAAGGGGAAATACCACAGAAAAGCCTTCTGGGCCAGACACGGGGTGAACCATTTAACAGCTCTCACCATGGGCTCGGGATGGCACCGCAGGCTGGCTCTGGGCTCAGCGTTCAGAGGGATGTGGCGGCTCCCACTTACCTACTTTTTAATGACTCTGGGGGAGGGGCTGGGGAACCAGGTCTGGGGTTTGGAGGTGCCATTTGTGAGACATTTGTAGATGGTGAACATGGAGCTCTTTTGGAAGAGAAGGAAGGGCGGCCTACAGGGCGGACTTCGCAGAGAGAGATGGCTGTTCCCGAATCCCTCTGTGCCGGGCCGGGCGGATCTTCCCCTTGGCTTTGCCTGACTGAGGCCTTGTCATCACTCTGGGACACAGGACGGCGGTCACGCAGCCCCTGCTCCATGGCTTAGCCTGGCAGGTTGAGAACCGAGCCTGGACCACAGAACTGCTAAGGAGTAGCTCATTGGATTCCATGCCGTCAGACTCCGGTGCCCATGGGACAATGCAGTGTGCCACCCTTCCTTCTGGGCAATGCCCGCCTCAGTCCCGGGGGGGCAGGGGGCTGCAGGCCTGGCCTGTCTGCACCCTGGGCCTCAGCACTGCGCCCACCATGCCTGGCTGGGAGGGAGCGGGTCAGCCCAGAGGCCTCTCTGATGGGCACTTGCCCGCAGCACCTGGCAGGCCCTGCTGGCTGCCCTCTCCTGCCCTGCCTTGTTTATAGTCACGAGCAGGTCAGCGTGCTAACAATGGTCATCAAATCCCCGCCGCTTATTACATGCCGGGCTGGTTCTGACTGTTCCCATATGTAATCCTCACACTGTCATCGTCCCATTTCATAGATGAGGAGACTTGAGGCCAGGGAGCTAAGTGAGCTGCCCACCTGCAGAACTGCCAAGTGTCAGAGCCGAGCCCCCTCCCTCCCAGCTCAGGCTGCCTCTCCGTGTGCATGTAACCAGCTCGTCCAGCCCGGCCCCAGAGCCCTGCCATTGCTGGGAGGGTGACTGAGCCAGCGTTCAGCGCAGGTGGCCAGCACAGCGACATCCTGCTGGAGGCTCAGGAGCAACCCTCCAGGGGAAGAAGTCCAGGCCATTCCTGCTCCTTCTCTTAGGACCCAAAGCCCTCTCTGGGGACTGCTGGGAGGGGAGCTGAGGCAGGAGAGAGGGCGCTGCCACCCCACGGCACAGCTGTGTTTGGCCATGAGTGTGGCGGAGATTGCTGCTCCTCCCCATAGCCTGGCCCAGACCCTGACAGCACAAGGGGCCCTGGCACCCAATTCCAGCCTCAGCGTCCCTCCCCTTTGGCCAGAGTGCTCCCAGGTTCTCCCCCTCTCCATCCCCAGGTGCCTCAGACCCTGCCTGACCCTGGAGGTGTGGGCTGGCCCTGCAGGGCCCATGCTCCCCCGGAGCCTGGCCTCCCGCCCTCTGCACACCCTCACCCGGGCCGGCCTGCCCCACATCACCTCTGGCACCGGGAGACCTGCCACGTCACCCCCATTTATTGGTCTGCTCACCGGCCACGCCAGGTTCCCAGGGCTCTGGCCTGCTTCACCCCGAGATGAAAGTGGGGCCCGAGGGGCACTCAGGTCCTTCCTCCTCCTCCCCATCACTTTTCTTCCTCCTCCTCCTCCCAGCCTTTGCCTTGCACCTGTCGGCACCTCTGCAGGCCTGGGGACCCTCAGACAAAGTGGGAGGCTGAGCCCCAGACCAGAATCAGAGAGAAGCCCTAGGAGAGAGTGAGCCCATTACACAGCTGAGGAAGCAGAGGCCCCAGAGAGAAGCGACTTGCCCAAGGCCATACAACCGGGTGTCTGGAGCCTGGTCAGCTGGCTGCCCCTGAATGGAAGGGGGGGACTGAGGCAGAGGTGGGGGCGGGGAGAGACCCTGTTGGCGCTTCTTTTCCACTTGGTGAGGCTGGGCCTCATCCCAGCCCTCCAAGGGGCTCCCTGCTTCCTGGTGTCACTCCCCCGGGTCCTAGGCAGCCTGCCCGGCCCAGCAGAACCCCGAGCACTGGGCACCGGGCCTGGCATCGCTCGGAGCTGCCATGGTCCCTCTCACTCCCCCAGAGTCACCAAGCCCTTCCTACAACCCACGCGGATTTTCATATTCAAGCCAGCGAGAATGATGGCAGCCACTGAGTTAGCACTTACACGCCAGGGACTTCTCTCCTCTCATCCTCACAATAGTTCTCTGAGGCGGTGCCGTCACCCCATTTTACAGAGGAGGAAACCGAGGCCCAGAGCAGCTGGGTGCCTTACAGAAGGAAGCCGCCAGAGTTCAGACCCTGGGTCTTTATCCGACTCCAAATGCCACGTCCTCCGAGAAGCACGCCCCGTCTCAGAGGTGATGAGTTCACTTCCCTCCTCCCACCAAACCCCGGCTCCTTCGTGCTGCCCCGAGCCAACCGGCTGTGTCGCTGGGAGCCAGGCTGCCTTGGTTCGAATCCAGCTCTGCCTGCCGTTTCCTGGCTGCTGATCTCTAGCGATTTACGTAACGGCTCCGTGCCTCTGTTTCTTCGTTTGTAAAATGGCGTGGTGGGAAGTTTCAGCCTATGAGACACTGGCACACGGAAGCACTCAGTAAATGGTGTTGGCTGTGGTTACCACGTGTTTCGGGGCTGGCCCAGCACTTGGTCTGTCCCCTGCCCTGCCATGGGCCTCCCTCCTCCTGCCCCCCATCCCTGACTTAAGAGAGCGCATCGCATTCTCAGGCCCCTGCCATCCATCTCTGGGAAGGATGCGGAACGGGGCTAAGCTGGCCCCTTGCCCGGCAGTTCGGTTCTCACGGGGGTGGCTAAGCAGACGTGCGAGCTGGCCGCCGGTAAAGGTGACCCGCAGGGCAAGGCCAGGGCGGACAGATGTCCCCACTGAGCTCCATTCCGGTGAGCGCTCCACCTGGACATCCTGCCAGTAATGAGCAGGGCCTCGGCGGACGCGGGTTAGCTCCCGGGCTGGTGCTGGGCTAAGGAGGCTGTGGCCGCGGGATTGATTTCCGCAGGATGGCTGCCCTCCCAAACGGGCCTGCCACCCTGACTCTGAGCCAGCTGCCCACACAGGACTCCTGTCTGAGGTTCCGCCACCACAGGGTCATGTAATTTAACTCACAGCAACTCGTCCCCATTCCTGAAGGTCACGATCGCGTGGGGAGGTCACACAGTGAGCCTCGTTCTCCTCGATTCTTTGCACCAAAGTAAGCGACATGGCTTTGATTAGATTTGTCCCGGCCGCTGTGAGGGCTGGCAGCCCGGCTGCTCCATGCCCGCCTGCCCTGCGCCCTCCGCCTGGAGCACTGCCCGGGGAGCCGGGCAGACATCTTCCCCGTCCTCCAGCCTCCCCGTCCGGGTCGCCTCCTTCCAAAGACTCATGGGCTCCACGCAAAGGCAGCCTCTCCGCCCTCCGGATTCTGCCTCTCCCTTATTCACACCTTCTTATCTCCCAGTTCCTCTGGCTGCACCAGTGTCAGTTTCCTGAGGCTGGAGGCCGTGTTTCCATTCTCCCTCCACACCTCCTCCATCACACACACGCATACACACGCATGCTCTCACAAGTGCACACACACACACAGACGCGAGCACATTTGGTCTGCCAAATAGCCAGGCACAGGGTAGGCACATACTGATTCTCAAGGGAGGGCACGAAGGAGCGAGCCCCGCGCGGGCCAGCCTGCTCACCCCCATCTCCCACTCCCCAGGCCTCCAGGCGTCCGGAGGTCCCGCCCCCACACAGAACAAGACTCCTCAGTTCCGCAGAGGAAGTTCCTACCGTCAGGACCTGAGACAAAGGCGAGGCTCCCAAGGGAGCGAGGGCCCGCCTGGCCCTGGCAGCTGGTGAGGGGGAGGACAGGGGGCACTGCCAGGCCTCCCCAGTGGGGCAGCGGCTATTTATACTCAGCTCCTGGCCCTGCTCCGCCCAAGGGCACTGCCACCCTCCCCTGAGGGCAGTCCTCCTCCACCCCACCCACCCGCCGTGCAGCTGGGCGAAGGACAGACACAGGCCGCCAGGCGGGCGGGCAGCAGGTGCCAGAAAGCACCAGCGAGGTCTCTGCCTGGGAGACCTCCATACCAACCTCTCAGGCAAAACCCCCTCTCCACAGAGGCTGGACGTCATTAAATACGGAGCACAACTTGTTAGACCCCTCCCAGGTTGTTCACCTGGGCCCTACCTCACCTCCCGTCCCAGAGGCTGACGGTGGCCTGCATGGTGAGCACAGGCCAGAGATAAAACTTTTAACCAACGAATCCAGGGCAGCGAAGATGCAGAACTGACTGGTGCTCGTAACGTACGGTGAGGCACCACCGGGGGCCCCGTGCCGTGTGTCCTGTGCCGAGACGCTGGCAATGTTGACCCCCAGAACCCGTCCCCCACCAGCAGTGACCCCCCCCTGCTGTGGCTGGCCATGGGCAGTGCCTGAGGGCGCCCACAGGGCTGGCCCTGCCATGTTTCCTTTAAGGGACCATTCCG